TGTCTGTCTGTCTGTGTGTGAGTGAGTGAGTGAGTGAGTGAGTGAGTGAATGAGCGAGTGAGCGAGTGAGGGAGTGAGCGAGTGAGTGTCTGTGTGTACGTGCAAGTGTACGTGTATAGTGCAACTGTACGTGTCAGTGTCAGTGTGTGTGTGTGTGTGTGTCTACGTGTGAGTGACTGTAAGTGTAAGTGTAAGTAAGCGTGCGTTGCTAGCTCTGTCTGCTTCTGTATTTCTGTGTCTCTGTGTGCGTGTGTGCTGGTGTCGGCGGTGTGACTACAGCTTGCTTTGTTCAGCGCGACGAAAGGTTCATGTTTGGAGCCCCTCTGCCCCCCCCCCTCCCCCAACCCCCGACAGACAGAACACAGAGAGTTCGTCACGCAGCCGGACACAGAGACACACACACACACACAGACACTCACTCACGCTATTGGAAGCAAGGGAGCGGTAGCAGGCCTTTCTGAGTGGGCAAGCTCTCTGACTCTGACTCTCTGCCAAGGAAACACAACTACTTGTCAAGCGCAGTTGCAGGCATGCTTCTTCAAACACAGCGATTAAGGGTATCTGTTCTGGGTCGCAGAGGATTGATCTGCAAGTCATTCATGCCTGGGCCCTTGGCCTGGATCACATCACGTCACGTCACAGAATCACAGCCCACAGCAGTGGGTGAAGGGCTGCGGCTCTCGACTTGATGGACTCTGGCGAAAGTAAAGTAGCGCAGAATCTTCAGAGGTCTCTCTCATAATCAATGGTTTCGTTTATCTTTGGTCTAAGCTAAAGCAGACGAAGCCCATCCCAATAATCTGGAAGCTCTGCAGGTCAGAAGTGCATGACTTGGAATCTCTGTTGACTTAGTAAGTCCTTTGGAGACCCTCTTATAATCCCCATAACCTAACTTACTCAGTCAACAGAGCTTCTGGTCAGAGCACCCAACATCCCAGCACCCTCCCCGAGCTGCCCCTGCGGAACCAGGAACCACTGCGCAAATCTCGGCCTCAGGCCGCGCTGGCCTCTCAGATCACAGAGCGCAGCACCTGCGGCACAAGGCTGTTTGCTCCTGCCCTGCGCTAGGTTTACGAGCCAAACACACCAAGCGTACCGCCAAGCCAGCTACGGCACCCAAACTACACATGGAAGCGACTCGTTGACTCAAGCTCAATGTAAAACCGAAACACATTCCATATGGGCGAACACAGCATCTTGCCATTACACAGAGAGCTGGTTGGTCGGGTATGTGACATGAGGCCATACGGATTGAGCAAGTGACAAGTGGGACCCAGCCTCAGCAACCAGTCGTGACGACGTCCAGCGCGTCATGAGACCCTGCAGCGCGCATCACGTTGACAAGACTTTACAGACACACTTATGCTTCTACGGACAGACTAGGCAGCAAAGAGCGTCACTGTCATGGACATCGATGACTCGGCTGAATCCTTTCACGTCCCTATCAATATGACTGAAGTTACCTGGGCAAGGGGGGGCTTTACTCTGCGCAAGAGAAACAGTTCAAGCAAGACACAACCCACACCATCTATCCTGGCTCACGGGCCTCAGTCTGACAACGAACTGGATGAGCCGGACGCGCTAGAGGCGGAGGACGAGGAGCTGTTTGAACTGGAGTCACTGTCACTCGAGCTGGAGCTTGAGCTTGATGCATCATCCCCAGCCTCATCTCCTGTCAAGATCAAGACGACTACACTGCTGCCGCTGCTTGCGCGTCGCATGAAATGTGTTTGGTTTGGCAGAGACTTGTGCGGTCAGACCGGTATGCGGCAGTTGTGTGTTGTGCGCGTGCGCAGCAAAGCAAAACTGTCAAACTGGGAGCACCGCAACAACCGCTCAAAGACCAAACAATGTAACGTACCTGTCCCTCCCCCTATCAACGCGTGGCC